CAAAGACGCGAATAGACGCATCATTCGCACCGGGCGTTGCAAATGACGCGAATTTGGCGACGCGTTTGCCGCGATTGTCTTCCGCGCAAGTTGAAAAATTTGAACTCGAGCGAATGTTCAAGCGTCATACTATGAAGGACTTAAAATGACATAAGGAATAAATAAATAAATAAAAGTAGAAATAAACAAATAAATGCAGAAATATAGTGAAAATAAATACATTTTGGTAATATAAATGGCTATTTCTGTATTTTTACATGTATTTATTTATTTATTTATTTATGCATTTCTATATGTATTTATTTATGTATTTATACATTTATTTATACATTTATGTATTTATATATTTATTTATATATTTATTTGTACATTTATTTATTTCTGTATTTCCACATTTATTTATTTCTGTATTTCCACATTTATTTATTTCTGTATTTCCACATTTATTTTTCCCTGCGCCTGTATGCTAATTGAGTGGGGGGTGCCAACATCAGTCTGAAGCAGGATTGGTTAGCTGGGGGCCGCATCGCTAACCAGACAGAAGCAAACGATCCATCTATCCATCTCTGGACGCAGGCTACTTATGAATGCTGCGGCTAGTGTGTGTAATACCACTGCCAGTGAGTCGGGCGGTGCTTAACTGTGGATCGTCAGTTTTCAACAGTACACTGAAATATATTTCTGAAAAGATTTAAAGCGAGAAATAGACAATCCAGCAACAGAATCTTGATTCATATTTGATCAGCATTGCCTAGTTTAAGTTTGTTGTGAGCCTGATGCTTTGCTTTGGACGAGTCCCTCATGCACTGCCGGTGTTGTGCCGAATTTCGACCCCCGCCAAATTATTACCCCCCTAGCATTGGTAGGTTTAGGATTAGTTGTGGGGGAGGGGGTAGGATTAGGGGCGGGGTTGGGATTAGGCAATCAGGTACTGACTTCAACGAGGGGGGTAATAATTTGGCAGGGGGTCGAAATTCGGCACAACACCGGTTCTGAAAGGACCCAAACTTTCTCTAAAATCAATAAGGTCCGAGCTTATCGGATACTGCTACTGTTTCTAATGATGGCACCGAAACGCGGTATTAAACGGGCTCGGGACTGTTTATTATCAGGCTGCAGCTTCCCCTCCATTCTGTCGCGCACACAGCGCCCTGCAGAGACGCAGACGCCGCTGTGGAGACGGGGAAGTTAAGTTAGCTCCAAACTACTCAATTTGCCGACAGCTACGCTCCTTACGTGCAATAAAACCTTCGCGAGTAAAAAGACAATACTTTATAATTATCAGTAGTACACCTGTGTGTAAGGTAAACATGTAGAAAGTGTTAATTATCTCTGTCCTCAGTCTCTCATCCTGTATGTTCTAGCACCAAGGCGAGTAGGCTTCCTTGTACCAGTGAAATCAAGGCAGTAGTAGTAGATTCGATCACATCTCTCTAACCAATCCTGGTTCAGACTGATGTTGGCACCCCCCACTCAATTAGCATACAGGCGGAGGGAAAAATAAATGTGGAAATACAGAAATAAATAAATGCAGAAATGTGGAAATACAGAAATAAATAAATGTAGAAATGTGGAAATACAGAAATAAATAAATGTAGAAATGTGGAAATACAGAAATAAATAAATGTAGAAATAAATATATAAATAAATATATAAATACATAAATGTAGAAATAAATGTAGAAATACATAAAAAAATACATATAGAAATGCATAAATAAATACATGTAAAAATACAGAAATAGCCATTTATATTACCAAAATGTATTAATTTTTTACTATATTTGTGCATTTATTTATTTCTACTTTTATTTATTTATTTATTTATTTTTCCTTATGTCATTTTTAGTCCTTCATATTTAACTAGACGCGATAGACGCGTATTGACGCTCTATTCGCGTTCGGTGTGAACACTTCAACACACCATTAGAGTGAGTGTGTGAACCTTTTTAAAAAATCTGTACGAGTACAAGTCAATTATAATATGATACATAGATGTTACATTATGTTACATATTCATATATCTAATTATCTATACACAACATTTAATAATAACTATTTAAAAACTATTTTATTTAAAGTCAAGCTATCAATCTTGTTTATCTATGTGGTGTTTTTAATATTCTTTATGAAAAACCATGTGCAAATTCATTAAGAGTATTTTCTCCTTAAAACTGCAGTGAACCAAAGACAGTCTCAAAAACACGGTTTGAAATCGCTGGTGTTTCTGACGTCACAAACGACCTTGTAACCAATCAGATCAACGTGTGATCGTCAACGAGTGGATCTCTGAGCTGAGTGAGTGAGTGGAGCCGGGGCTCATTTGCATTTGCATAGAACTGCATGTACAAAATGAGGCAAGGGTGTAGAGTTACATTCAAGCTATGTTAAGACGGTCTTCCTTTCGGAGTCACATCCTGGGCCTACCCGGTCAGAAGTGACCGGAGACCTAAAAATTAAACTTCCTCCTTCCCAGTAAAACCAATGCAATTTATTTTTGTTATATAATATTTATTCTTTTTAATTTTGCATTTTGAGAGAATTTGATTGAATTTATTAATATTTATGCAATATTTATGGTCTATTTTTGCCATTGAAATTAATAATAAAAAAATTTATATATATATATGATTTTTTTTTATTTATTTTTTTTATGCAGTATTTTAGTTTAAAATGGAGTCTATCTAGGCCTTCAAAAAAATGTTTTAAGCAGATTAGCACCATCTTGTGGGAGGGAGTATGGACAGAAAGAGTAGGACCATGGTGTAACCACTAGATGGAATCTACAGTCTCTATGGAGAGGCATGTGAATTCCCCAGCTGTTTATGGACACAATTACCTTTTTTGTCCCACTTTATATTAAGTGGCCCTGATACCTGTGAACTTACATGGTTACTAGATATGTACTTAGTATGTAACTACAGTGTAAATACACATTGGTACATAGTATTTACAACTGTAATATTTGTGTAACTACACATATGTAACAACCCACGGAAAGGTATGTGTAAGTACAAATGTGTAACAGGACATTGGTAACAACACTTTTTCCACTACAGTAAGTACACATGTGTAACAGGCATTATGTAACTACATTTTGTAACAACAATATCTATTCACACAAGTTGTTCCACTTCCACACGCAGTCTTCCATACTGTAGTTACCAGTTAAGAACACACTGAAACCATGACGTTGCAATTAGAGAATTGAGATGTCCTTCAAGATGGCTGATCTCGATCGGTTTCCGAGTCATAGGATGAAGGACGCAGGAGAGAGGAGACGAGGAGGGGTATTGAGAAGCACCCCCTGACTGACGCGACGGAAGGGTAGACTGCTCCTTCTCCTTCACCAGGGTATCCTTAGAAACGGCACTATCCACTCGCCATACCAATTTCGGCTGTTTGAAGAATTTTTCACTGCCGTTGTGCTGTAGGCTACTCGAAGAGTCGCTGGATGTATCATGGCGAAGCGAATTCCTCGTTCACTTAGTCATTTCTTCACATTTCCAAAAGCTTGTCTTTTCCTCACTATATCCACAGAAAAGTCTTCAAATACAGATGTTATGGCGTTTGTAGACCAGCTGACTCGCGGCGATCGCTGCCTGCAGGATGCGCGCCTTGTCTTGAAAATGATGTAGTTTTGCCATCAACGCTCTCGGTCTTTCTCCTGACGTGGGAAGACGTGAAGGGGCACGATGTGCGCGCTCTATCTTTACCTGGTGGTTCTTCAGTTCGGTAGATTGGGCAGCCAGGTCCTGATGAACGAGACCGGGGTCGTCCCTTCTTCGGGTAGGCCAATAATTCGTAAATTGCATCGCCTGCTCCTATTTTCCAGGTCATCTGTCTTTTACAGGGCCGCGCTTTTTTTCTTCATTTCGTTCAAGTCTGCGCTGTCTCTTGAGACCGTGTCTTTCATAGCCTAGTTTCAGCTTCAGTGACTCGGTTCTCCATCTGCTCGACATGTGTCACTACCGCTGACAATTTCTTTAGCCTTATCGACGCCCTCCAGGACTTCTGTTGTTATTTTCTTCACACGTGCGTCCATGTCGCTAGGATTCATTGGAGCATCCGCCATTTTCGGAGAGGAGCGTGTGTTAAAGTTCATTAATTTTCTGTGACTGGAATCAAGTTGTTTCTTTGGCATGTCTTGTCACTTCTACATTTAATTTCTGCTCCCTCAACGATAATATTGAGTTTTAGGAGGGAGATTTTTGAAGGCTTTGCCGGAGTTCGTCGTCAACCCGGCTACTCTATTGAATTGAATTGAATTGAATTATTTAAATATTGCAGGTTTGCATTCCACTGTTTTCATTCATTTTGAGGAATACAGAATGTGTTTTTGTGCAAGTGAGATGAGTAAATGCTCACATTCAGTCTAGATCTACTCTCTGCACTTACTCACGATTTCTCTCAATATGGGGACAGCAGAGCTCGGTCAATAAATAGGAAAAAGTATTTTAAAAAAGTAACAGATATTTTGTTTTGTAAATTTAAAAGTAATGTGTTACTGTACTAGTTACTCGGAAAAGTAATCTGATTACGTAAGTCTAGTTAGCTACTTGTAATGCGTTAACTCTCACTGTCATCCAGCAGTGATGAACCGGACAGCCAGTCATGGTGACATGGTACTGGAAGATGTAAAAGATGGCAAATGTTTGGCTTGATTTACAGATGATTACTACTACAACATTGAACTGGATCAACACCTTTGATTTTAAAACAAAAGCTGTCAAAACATTAACTGACTTCCGAAGGTATTTCTACATATATTGACAGTTTATAATAGTTGCAGGGCAGAAAGAAGAAAAGGAGAAGGATAAGAAATGGCAGATGGCCTATATCAGATTCATTATTAGTTATTGAGAGGGACATTGGCTTCTTGATATGTGTGAAAGTACTGGCACAGGGATGGTAATACCTTATTATTCAAAAAGTAAATAGCAGAATCATTAAACACCAAAGTTTAACATTCTTGTTTAATTTAAACCGATTAAATAACCTAATATTCTTGTTTAATTTCAACAGATCAACATGTACACATCAAGCCAGTTAAGTGTCCATGTACAGCTCATTTACCCCTTGTAAATGTTATAGAAAGACTTAGTTTTAATAATTTAAATAACCAAGAGAGACAAAGCACAGTTCAGTCAATACGCAGATTATGAGCAGGGCTGCAGGTGCAGTGTTAGCGCCCCCTGGCTGTGGAGCTGTAGCAAGCGGAGAAATTCCTCTGGCATGGAGTGAATACCAATTTTGGGTCCTATGTTGTCAAAATAGTGATGTGGAACAATCTGCTTTTCCAGATTGATGTCAAACGGCCAGAATCCATAAACGTGCACATGATCACACAGCTCTAGTGCAACATTAATTAGCATAAAACCTGTGGAGAGGCGTCGCCCATTCAGGCCACGCCCTTTCCAGAAACGGTCCAACTTCTTGAGGTAGCTAGAGCTAAAGAAGACCACCTGCATCTCAGGGTTGGGAGGCCAGAGCGCTTTGAGAGTGCTGATTGACAATCGAGTGTTTAACGGGCTTGCAAAAGCAGGCATGATCAGAGATGCATCCCCGTAGACAGTCACACGCCGCATTAAAGGACCTGGCTGCTTTTGAGCATTTCTGTAGCTGAAGAGACACACACAAACCACCAACATATTAAGGCACATACAACAACACAAGATGTTTAAGAGTTGTAAGTTATGAATTAAATCAACCAGATACAGGTTAAATCACAACATTACAAACTTAGAATTTAAGCAACAACAAAAAAGTGCACGATTGTGTACTTTATGGCTTTAATGAGAAAAATAACTACAATGCGAAACATGAAAAACATTGCAAATGGCAACTGAATTAAAAATGAGAAATATATAATAATTGATCTAAAAATGTTGATTATATATGTAAAATCAATATATTTTTTGTTTACTGCAAAATATGCATATGCATACAAATATGTAATTTGAAATTCTGTGGAAATTAATTGGTAGTGCTTCACAAAAGTGGGCGGTCGTTGTGTGTGTTTTGAGAGCTGTGTGTGTTTTGGTTTGCTTTGCTTGTCTTGATTCTCTAATTGGTGGAGATTTCTTTGCAGAATGTAGTTTTTCAACCAAGAATTTGGCTATTAAACACTTATCTAAAAACTGAAATAATGCGGCTGATGGCTTCAACAAAAGCATATAACAGGGGTCGGCACCCTATGTAGGGAGGGACAATCACTGGCACGTGACAATAGCTTAAGAGGTGTATGTTTTTATTTAAATTAAGTCCCTCTATTATTCTATCCATTAAAACTCATCTTTGATCACCAAAATGACATAAAAAAAAATCCTGTCAAAACATTTCATCAAAGCTTAAAATAGCTTGAATTTAAAGGGTTAGTTCACCCCAAAATGAAAATTCTGGCAGTAATCACTCACCCTCATGTTGTTCCAACCCCGTAAGACTTTCGTTCATCTTCGGGACACAAATGAAGATATTTTTGATGAAATCTGAGAGCTGGATCACTCCTCCAAAAAACAAACAAAAATAACGACTTTATTCAACTAATCATTTCCTTCTCTGTGGGCCGTGATATTTCACGTAGTGAAACTACGCAAAGCTTCTAGGTTGTACGTCACACATGACCAGTGGCAGCGTCGGCCAATAGTGAGCCTGCGTGTGACGTGCAACCTAGAAGCTTTGCGCAATATCACTACGTGAAATCTCACGGCCCACAGAGAAGGAAATGATTAGTTGAATAAAGTCGTTATTTTTGTTTGTTTTTTGCGCACAAAAAGTATTCTCGTCGCTTGATAAACTTTTTGAGGTTGAGCCACTGTAGTCACTCGGACTATTTTAACGATGTCTTTCATAACTTTTGGGCCGGTCAGTTTCGATCCCTTAAGGAGCCTATGGAGGAGTGATCCAGCTCGCAGATTTAATCAAAAATATCTTAATTTGTGTTCGAAGATGAACGAAAGTCTTACGGGGTTGGAACAACATGAGGGTGAGTGATTACTGACAGAATTTTCATTTTGGGGTGAACTAACCCTACACCCTTGCTTCGTTTAGTATAAGTGGATTCATGAATAAGCAAATTAGCCCCGCCTCCAATCACTCACACCAACTTGGACTGCCTGATCCACTCGGCCAACTTTACTGTAGTAAACGCTGCACAATGGCAAGAGGAAATACTGGTTTATTTCAGCCATATATATTTGAACAAGAAATTGATTCAGAAGAAGAAGTGGAAGAGCGAATTATACAGGCTCGTCTACACATTGATGTATCAGAATGGTAACGCGTTTTATGTACCGCTCTCTACAACGTCGGACACATAATGGTAATTAATATGATTAGCCACATATGATTAATAATGTGTTGCTAATGTTACACACAAACAATGTTCTTCTTCGCCATCTTCATCTGCCTTATAAAAATCAGCATCCTTAGAAACGCTTTGAACAACTTCAGTGGAGAAAGTATGAGTGAGTGGAGGCGGGGCTCATTTGCATATTCATAAATCCGCACATACTAAATAAAAAGTTTAAATATGCCATTTTGGTGATCAAAGAGGAAGTTTAAGGGATAAAATGATTGAATACAGGGGGACTTTAAGGCATATTAAAACACCACATTGACATATAAACAACATTTAAAACTTGATTTTCACCACAGTGTGAGATTTTAACCTGAGCTACCATACAGATCCGACAAAACCATTCGCTTCAGTAATGATCCGTCCACAAGGTTGCTGACCCCTGGCATATACCACTGATAACAGCCTCATAGCTCACAGTGGGCCTGTTTGTAAAGTTCTGAGTTATCGTTGAAAATCACGACAGAATTTAAATTTCTGAGTGAACTATCTTTAACATTTTACCTTCGTAAGCAGCTCACGAAGTTTTAGATTCACTATCAAGAACATAATATAAACAATTATATATACCATAAAATGTTTCAATTGTGTATATTCTTTTGTAAATTGTTTCTCACCCTCTCCGGATCTGACTGGGATTGACTGTGATTAAATCAGTTTTTAGCCCAACATCACTGTCATTAACGGGTGCCATGTTAAACCTGCAACAAACGGGGGAAAGTTCATCAGTTAAGATAGATCAAATACTACAGAGCGGAGAGAAGTTCAGTATGTTTTACTGAAAGAAACTTTTAACAAAGCTTTCATTTAAAAAAAAAAAATGTCTGCCATTGTATTAATGTCTTGCACAAAACAACATGGCCTTTCAACAAAAGACTAATGCCTGAAAGAGACGAGTACTTCATTGCTACACCCTGCTTTACCAAACATTCCTCTAAAATGTAGGGGTGGTTGAATTGACCTTTGCTGTCAAAAACCAAGGCTAACATACTCAAAAATGTAGTCAAGTTAACTACTACTTTTATAAGCTTACGGTGTAGAGTGCAACAGTGGGGTTGTACCTGATGACATAGTCAGCGCTGTCAATCTCTCTTCCACAATTGCTGTTCTTCAGAATCCCTCCACTGCCCACCACAGCACATCGACCCAGAGGACGCTCACTCCAGGGAAAGGCCTTCAGACCAAACCAATGAGTCCATTAAACACATTATGTAGATTTTATATCACTGTGGCCTGATAAATATTGAGTCACATTTAATTGCAGTGGATCATGGGTTTTAAAACTAAGGTGCTTGGAGGCCTAAATATTTTACAACATGCAGTCTTGGGCTGTCAAATTATTGAGTACTTGATGCATGAATAAAAAAACTACACAAATGCATAAAGGGAGTCAAAAACAACCGTTTTGGAATTAATGGTTTTCTTCAAAAAAAAAAAAAGAAAAAAAAAAAAAAAGTGTCCTATTAATGAAATGACTAAAATAACTGACAACACACAAATGTTTTAATATATCAAACCTGTTAATTTGTCCACTTTCCTTGTATGAAATTTATTCTTTTAAAATGCACTTCCTCTGGACTAGTTTAGATCTACAGCAAAGCTTATTCTAGTCTGAACATTCACTCCCCACATTTTTCACATACCATGTGAAAATGATCTTTTCAGACAGAGACAACATTTCCCATAAGACTACCACTTTTCAAAACCTAACTTTTGGGCAAAACCTAACCTTCCTTTGTTTGTCTGTGACCTTTCTCTTCTCTTCTCATACTGGATCTGAAATCACACACTGTCTACATCTGCCACCATGTTAGCATTATCATGTGAGCTACGAGTGAGTTCTGTCGTTTCCCTGCCATTCATGACTCCTCTCCCACGGTCTACGGACAGTTACGTGTCCACTGGATGTGAACTTCAGAATCGTGGCAGAAGTAGTTGGTCACCCGGATACTTTTTTTGCCTACTGTTTAATCAATGAATACTGTGAATTCAGACATACTACTCAATTCACATACTGCTTTTCACCAATATATAGTATGGAGATTCAGACACTGGGTTGGTGTCTAAGGCAAATTCTTAGTTCAGAACAAAAAAAAAAATCACTACAGATTAAGTAATCCATAACGTTTCAAGAAAATAAATATTATTATTATTATTATTATTGACAAAAATGTATACACAAATACTGCATTGAGTCAAAATTACATTAGAAAATAATACAGGTCAATTCAACCCCCTTTATGCTTTATGGTAGTGATTTATTTTATATTTTATTTTTCCCATCCTATGACATTGAAAATGACATTGATTCAGGTCAGATGCAAGTTTTTTGAAGAATTTATGGAATATCTAATAAATACATGTTTTCTTTGATAAAATATTTTTAAAATATTGCCGGGTCAATATGACCTCCTCAATACATTGGGTTAAAGGGATAGTACATCCAAAACTGAATTATCCCTTTAAAGGGATAGTTCACTTTGAAAATAATTTTTGGTATGTTTTAGCTTACCTCAAGGGCATCCAAGATGTAGGAGTCTTTGTTTCCGCTGTAGTTTCAATTTTGATATTTTTAGGTCAAACCGTTCTTGTCTGTCAGTCATATAATGCAGGTCTATGGTCACCACCTCAAAGAGCATGCACAGAGAAGTCCAAATTAAACATGATTTAATGACTCGTAAATGTAAGCACACATTGATGGCCTAAGACACGAAACGAGCGGTTTGTGTGAGAAAACGAACAGTATTTATATCGTTTTTACCTCTTGTAAACACAGCCACGTTCAAGTGATCTGAGGGCGCGGGCGCTTCGGTCTGCGCAAGTGCCGGAAGTGATCTCTTGCACGGTTGCGAAAAAAATTCAATGTTGTCAATGTTGAGGTGGTGACCATAGACCTGCATTATATGACTGACAGACGAGAACGGTTTGACCTAAAAATATCAAAATTGAAACTACTGTGGAAACAAAGACTCCTACATCTTGGATGCCCTTGAGGTAAGCTAAAACATACCAAAAATTAATTTCAAAGTGAACTATCCCTTTAAGACATAATTGTGATTAAAAGTTTTTGAAGCATAAGAGATTAAAAACATCTGCACACAGTCTTGTGAAGAAAACATCAACGTATATCTACACAGTGTGTGCAGAATTATTAGACACATTGATTTTCTGATCATATTTTCTTCCAGGCACATTTTACCAATTCAAAACCATAAAAATCTTAATAACTCCTATTAATTTTGTATTTAATCATTTATAAGTGATATATAATTGTGCTGGAAATTAAAAACGCCTTATATCCAGGTGTGCAGAATTATTAGGCACGTTTTCTTTTACAGATAAAATAAGCCAAAAAAAATAGATTGAACTCAGACCGAAAAGTAAAAAAAAGATTAAATGCCAATGAGAAGGACACAATACTAATGCAACACTAGAAATTACAGTCAAGGCATGACCATTGGACGGTGAAATGCTCATTGGGTCAGCCGAAAACATGTGGAGAAGTTATATAGATATATATATATTCAAGTGTTTATCTGGTCACTGTCACCTTTATGATAATATTTTATTCTTTGTGAAAAGCATTATACCAAAACGAAAAGAAAAAAAATCTGAATTGAAGAATTCTCTATTCAAATATTATGATTAGTATATTAGTAATTTATTTTGACATTGGAACAATGCCAATATAATAGCACAAAATTAAATTTTGGGAACAACATATTTGTTTTCACGAAGTATAAATATATATATTCTACTAAGTATAGACCTTATGCACCAGAGAAACGAGGGCGCCGCCATCTTTAGAATATTATCTTTGAACTTCCGTTTTTGCGGTTGCTCTGTATATTTCTATGGCATCGCCGTCCAGGAGTAATTAGCTGGTGAAGTTGATTTACTTATTGTAGAGTTAACGAAAGTTATCATGAGCATTGTAATGTTTATGATAAGCATTGTAAAACATATCTTAACAAATGGACCTTGGGAATTTTTTTTTAACGAGCCGTTCATTCATAACTAGGCAAGATCGCTGTGAAAATACAGACCGGAAGTCAAAAGACAATGAGCTCAGCGCGGAAAAGGGGCGTCGCTACATAAGGTCTGTAAAAGGAAGGATTCTTTTTAGGAAGGAATATTTTGGCTGTATAAGACACATACCTCAGGTAACATGTTGTGAAGTGCTTCATTCATTGTGTAGTTGGGATATACATCAGACTCATAGGGAATTATCTGATGCACAGCTGTGTTTTGCTTCGTCAGGTATAAATCGCCTGAGGCATTACAACAAGAACGCAACAATACTCTTACGTAGAGAGGAACAAATAAAAATAAAATATTAAATCTTTATAATGTTTCAAATGTATCATTTAAATTGCAAATGTTGCCCTACAATGTATACTGGCATATTGTCTAACACTCTGTTGCAAAAACCGATGAGCCGCCTGCAGCATTTTAAAAGAATAGTTTATCCTTACATAATTTTTTTTGTCATCACCCTCTTTCTTGAATGGAACACAAAAGGAGATATTTACCTGAATGTCTGTGCTTTTCAAGGTACCACTTTATACTGTATAAAGTGGTTTATCTACTGTGTACTAAGATTGAAATAAATTATTTGATAATGCACATGTGTACATACATGTTTTTACATTGTACAAATATTTTTTTTTTTTTAAATCCCTGCATTTAATTACAGCTGTAATTAATTTCTGTAATTACACAATGTGGAAACTTCCCCAACACCTTAAAGGGTTAGTTCACCCAAAAATGAAAATGATGTCAGTAATGACTCACCCTCATGTCGTCCCAAGCCGTAAGACCTCCGTTCATCTTCGGGACACAGTTTAAGATATTTTAGATTTAGTCCGAGAGCTTTCTGTCCCTCCATTAAAAATGTATGTCCGGTATACTGTCCTTGTCCAGAAAGGAAATAATGACATCATCAAAGTAGTCCATGTGACATCAGTGGGTTAGCTAGAATGTTTTGAAGCATCGAAAATACATTTTGGTCCAAAAATAACAAAAACTACGACTTTATTCAGCATTGTATTGTCTTCCGGTTCTGTTGTGGATCCGCGTTCAGTGCCGCTGCTGATGTAAGACGCTGCTGACGTGTGTCTGGTGTGTCCGTGTATTCGGGTTAAAATAAATATGGCTGGACAAAAAAATGCAAGTCTTTCTCTGTGTCGAAATCCTGAGACATGCTTGCGAAGATTGTTTTGTTTCCAGTGTGCGTCTCCCTCAGACTGTAAACGAAGCTCGGGCGCACCAGACACACGTCAGCAGCGTCTTACGTCAGCGGCGGCACTGAACGCGGATCCACAACAGAACCGGAAGACAATACAATGCTGAATAAAGTCGTAGTTTTTGTTATTTTTGGACCAAAATGTATTTTCGATGCTTCAAAACATTCTAGCTAACCCACTGATGTCACATGGACTACTTTGATGATGTCTTTATTTCCTTTCTGGACAAGGACAGTAAACCGTACACATTTTCAATGGAGGGACAGAAAACTCTTTGACTAAATTTAAAATATCTTAAACTGTGTTCCGAAGACGAACGGAGGTCTTACGGGCTTGGGACGACATGAGGGTTAGTCATTAATGACATAATTTTCATTTTTGGGTGAACTAACCCTTTAAGAGCCACTCTTAAACCTAACCATACCACCAAACCTGTAATACACAATACAAGTACATTATTCTGAATTATCAAGTGGGATAATGATGTCACGCAGGTGGTGGAGTAATATGTAAAAGATAATGTACATCCAGCCGGTTGTTATCTCAGAATAAACCCCCGACAGGGTGATGAGGAGCCAGACGCGAAGCGAGTACACAATACTGGATGGCCATTAGAAAAACTAGAAAATCCGTTCCTAGCAAGCGTATATTATTCAAGCGCAATTAATCACCAAGGACCGCGGTTTCAGCTAAAAAAATCTTCTTTACTCTTCAACGGAAGAAAAAAAAAAGTCACCTACATCTTGGATGGCCTGAGGGTGAGTAAATAAAGAGCACATTTTCATTCTGCGGTGAACTATGTAGAGCACTCCAAATCAGCATGCTTATGAGGTTTCAGCTATGCTGCCTAACAAGAAGTAGCTGCCAATATGTGAAAGGCAGCAGCTCAGTAGCTTTTGAAACAGAGTCAGTATGTGTTGATGTGTGATATGGTGACTAAATGAATTGATCAAGCTGTCTGTTTGACAGAGAGGGAGATCCACTCACCTATTCAGCTCCTTCTGGGTGATATTAGACTTGTATGGGCAGCTCAATAACTCAGAGACTTTCTCAGAGAAGCTCGTCATATCAGTACTCAAATTACTGCTAAAATAAAGAATGAGAGAAATTATCTATAGGATGTTAGCTGTAAATTGATAAACATTGAAATAATTACATCACATTAGTAATGGGAGATAGAAACGATATGCAATATAAACTATACAAAATTGGCCTACAATAGAGATTTTAAATCTATTGCACTATCGCGATAATGCATGTTGATGACGCAATCTACCCGTGAAATTTAGAGCCACGAGCTGCAACCGGCTGCAACGCATCATCGTATTCGCCATCTTGAGTAAACATGGCTGAAAGCGAAACGGAGGAGCTGGTGAAAAAGACTAGTGGATCGGTTCGGATTTAAGCGGCAGCAAACTATACTCTGTAGAGTGTGTGGGGCAACTGTTCCGGCTAAGAGAGGGAACATGACTAATCTGGAAAAAAAAAATGATTGTGCTTTCATTTTGCACTTCATTATGTTTTCATTTGAAGTATCTGTGGACTACACTTGGAAGAATTTTTGGTAACGCTTCCTTTTTACAGTACAGTACTTACGTGTCCTTACAGTGTACTTACCTAGAAAGTACTGGCTAATATAAGGTAAGTACATGGTTTAGGGGTAGGTTCAGGGTTAGTACCTAGTTATTACCCAGTAATTATAATTACTATAATAAGTACATAGTAAGTACATGGGTAACAGGACTGTAAAAGGAAGCGTTACCGAATTTTCTTTATTTAAAATAGCCATGCCTAATACTGGAAGTATTTCCCTAATTCACAGTATCCGTTCCTTTATTAACAAGACATCAGTTTTCATTTCATTAGGAGAACAAAATGTTTAAAACCAAATGCGTTACATTAGTACGGAAGCCCTGAACCACAATGTAAAAAAAAACTAAAAAAAATCTTGCGATTAAAGTCGAAACATTTCGAGAGTACGAGAATACAGTCTTCCGTAGAAGTTGCGTGTGTGCTTGCCATTGTTTCACATTGCCGCAAATACAGGCATTCATAATGGTGCATAGCGAGTGTTTCACACTGTGTGTGTGTTTGTGTGTGTGTTTTGTTTCAACAAAAGGAAATTCAACAGGTGCCAATCTACCAGCATTAGGCTACCATTATAAGACGTTATAAAATATACTGCGCCGGAATAGACTTTTGTCACGGTAGACGTATTCACTGGTTCCTTCTAGTCTTGTGTTTATATTGTTGTATGAGTGCACGTGTGTAGTGGGCGTGAATGTATGCCATTACCTGATCCGCTCCAGCTGATCATCGTTGCATCACCAGCTGCAATCAATCTCACCACTCCATATATACTCACCGCTGTTTTATCATCCTTGTCAGATCGTTGTTTGATGTACTCCGTGTTGGTGTTCTGGTTTCATGTTCCTGCCTTGTGTTCCTGTTCCTCGTCGTCGTCTGGATTATTCGTCGTCTCACCATCACTGCTTCACTTCATCACTTCACTGGATCTGGCCATCGAAGTCCCTGCGTCACCCTTCAACATCGGCTGTACTGTTTACCACTTGATTGTTCCGGACCTTGGCGGCAGAGTGTAGATGGAACGAGGAGGCGCAGTGGGACATGTTCCTGCATGGGTTGGCTGACCACGTCCAGAAGGAGAACTACACCCTGGATCTTCCTACAACACTGAACGGACTTATCGATTTAGCCCTGCGGGTGGACGCGCGATTGTCACGGGTCGAGCGTCGAGTCCCGTCCACCCGCATGTTCGGAGGAGTTGACGGTCCACGATCCAGCGGCAGGGACGTGGTCAGCCCCGTCTACGATCACGAACCCATGCAAGTAGGGCGAGCTCGGCTTTCCCGGGAGGAGAGGGAGAGGCGGAGGTCCCAGGGCCTTTGCCTTTATTGTGGAGGAGCGGGACATTATGCATACAACTGCCCTGTAAAAGGCAAAGCCCGATAGTAAACATGAGGCTACTTTCGGGTGGGATCTCCGCCAGGAAGAACTCATCCGCGATTACATCTACCTCCACGCTTCTCCCGGTAAGACTAAGATGGTCAGTCCACCAGTACAACGGTCAAGCACTTCTGGACTCCGGGGCTGAAGGTAATTTCATGGACTACACTTTCGCACATAGATTTCAGATTCCCCTCAAGCCCCTCACTCACAGGATCGCGGTTCACGCACTCAATGGCCAAGAACTACCCACCATTTCCTTCTCCACTGAAGACATCACCCTCATCATCTCTGGCAACCATTCTAAGACTATTTCATTCTATATCCTGGACTCACCCCTTGCACTCGTCGTCCTTGGACACCCTTGGCTCATCCGACACAACCCCCGAGTGGACAGGCATCATAGATCTGTGCTGGAGTGGAGCAAGGAATGTCATAAGTCTTGTCTCGTGTCTGCCTGTTAGTCTGTGCCTGTTTCTGTGTTTCAGGAGGAAGCAGGGGATTTGTCTAACGTGCCCACGGAGTATCTAGACCTGAAGAGGTGTTCAGTAAGTCTCGTGCTGCTTCTCTTCCTCCGCATCGTCCCTATGACTGTGCAATAGATTTACTGCCAGATAAGTCTCCGCCTAAAGGCAAGTTGTATTCACTTTCTGTTCCAGAGAGGGAGGCTATGAAGAAATATATTTCTGATTCTCTAGCAACCAAGTTCATCCGCCCTTCCTCTTCTCCAGCGGGGGCGGGATTCTTTTTTGTGGGGAAGAAGGACGGTTATCTGCGACCTTGCATTGATTACCGAGGGTTGAACAACATCACGGTAAAGAATACTTATCCTTTGCCATTGATGTCTTCAGCTTTCGAGAGGTTGCAGGGAGCGTCTACCTTCACAAAACTGGATTTGCGTATGCGTAATGCTTATCATTTGGTTCGCATTAGGGAGGGGGATGAGTGGAAAACTGCGTTGAACACCCCCAGGGGGCACTTTGAATATTTGGTTGTGCCGTTCGGGCTGTCCAACTCCCCAGCAGTTTTCCAGGCATTGGTCAATGACGTGTTGCGAGATATGTATCGATCAGTTCATATATGTCTACCTGGACGACATATTGATTTTTTTCTTCTTCTCTCCAGGAACATGTGCAACACGTCTGACGAGTGCTTCAGAGGTTGCTAGAGAATGGGCTTTTTGTCAAGGCGGAGAAATGCGATTTTCATGCACAGTCTGTTCCTTTCCTAGGGTACATCGTGTTGTCTGAAGGAATGCGGATGGACCCTGAGAAGATTAAGGCTGTGGTAGATTGGCCAAACCCAGATTCCCGCAAGGCCCTGCAGAGGTTTCTGGGGTTCGCCAATTTTTACCGGCGGTTTATTCGTAATTTCAGCCAACTAGTCGTGCCTCTGACTGCCTTGACCTCCCCAGAACTACGTTCAGGTGGTCAGACACAGCGGAAGCTGTGTTTGCCAAACTGAAAGCCCGCTTTGTTTTAGCCCCCATCCTCATCGTTCGTGGTGGAGGTCCACGCGTCAGAGGTGGGAGTAGGGGCAGTGTTGTCTCAACGCTCTCCTGTAGACGACAAGATGCATCCTTGCGCGTTTTTGTCTCATCGTTTATCTCCAGCTGAACGTAATTACGACATTGGTAACAGAGAGTTCTTGACAGTCAAGTTAGCATTGGAGGAATGGCGCCAATAGTTAGAAGGGTCAGGGGTCCCTTTTATCGTCTGGACCGATCACAAGAACCTAGAATACATTAGAACCGCCAAAAGATTGAACTCCAGGCAGGCTCGGTGGGCACATTTTTTCGGTCGTTTTGATTTTTCTCTCTCATATTGTCCGGGTTCCAAGAACATCAAACCCGACTCTTTATCTCACATATTTGATCTTTCCGAACGCCCGTCTACTCCCGAGTGTATTTTACCCATTCGTTTCAACACTCACATGGGAGGTCGAATCGAGGGTCCAGAAGCCCTTAGACGTAGATCACGTCTTTCGCTTACATGGCAGTGGCTCAGTGGCTCAGTGGTTCATGTAGGTTGTCTGCGAACCGGAAGGTTGGTGGTTCAATCCCCGGTTCCACCTGGCCAAGTGTTGAGGTGTCCATGAGCAAGACACCTTACCCCAGTTGCTCCCGACGAGCTGGATGGCGCCTTGTATGGCAGACACCGCCGTCGGTGTATGAGTGAGTGTGTGAATGGGTGAATGTGAGGCAAATGTAAAGCGCTTTGGTGGCCATTGGGTCTGTGAAAAGCGCTATATAAATGCAGTCCAGTCCATGGCCTCCCGATAGATGTGGTTTCCGACAGGGGACCCCAGTTCGTGTCCAAATTTTGGCGAGAGTTTTGTAAATTACTGGGGGCGACGGTTAGTCTGTCCTCAGGGTTTCATCCCCAGAGCAATGGCCAAACCGAGAGAGCCAACCAGGATTTGGAGAGAGTGTTGTGATGTTTGGTCTCCAAGAATCCTTCCTCATAGAGTCAACAACTGTCTATGGTGGAGTACGCACACAACACGTTGCCAGTGTCGGCCACGGGCCTATCTCCATTTGAGTGCAGTGTAGGTTACCAGCCACCAATTTTTATTAGTCTTGAATCCGAGGTTGCGGTTCCCTCCGCTCACGCCTTTGTTCAGAGGTGTCACCGCACTTGGTCTAGAGCCCGTGAGACTCTACTCCAGGTGGGGGCGCGCACCAAGGCCAAGGCTGATCGCCACAGGTCAAAGCCTGTGAATACGTCGTTAGTCAAAAAGTGTGGCTTTCTACTAAGAACATTCCTCTTCGCACTGTTATGAATGCACACACTTCTATGGAAGACTGTATTATCGAAATGTTTCGACTTTAATCTCGAATGCTGGGATTTTTTTTTTAAAGATTTTTTTTTTTTTTACGTTGCGGTTCAGGGTGATCCGTACATTAGGCTGCAGGTAAGAAACTTTGTTTGAAATATGTTTTTATTTAAAGTATCTGTGCATTACACAAAATAATTTTCTTTGCCTAATACTGAAAGTATTTTCAGAACAGTGTCTGTTCCTTAGCTAAAAAGACACCAGTTTTTCCTTTTCTCTGCATCTTGGGTGGCATTTAAGAACTAAGGACTTAAACTAAGTGTCACATGTGTGAAAAGACATGCAAATGAAATTGGACTCACCTTGCTGGAGTGATGATGGAAAATGCCTGACGGACTGTTTTGCAATGCAACTGTGAAAAACCTTCTCCCGTCTCATCTCTCATGAAAAACAACAACAAACATCTCACAAACACACTCATAACAATATTAGACAAAATTTATATTCCTGCTAAATGCAGTTTTTAAATGCTGGTTTGTAGGGCTCAATTTAAACTGGAAGAAGTTAGTCAAAGGTGTAGTGTAGGTTTAGATTTAACATTGGTAGGGACATTTTAATTTAATGAAAATATAAAGGCACAATGTGTTCGTCTGATCAGTGAAATTGCCTCTTACAGTTGATTAGTTGTTCTTATTTAGAAGTAGCATTTATACACGTTTCAAAATATCTGTCTATCTTTTGTACAATGATTAAAATCTTCCAGACAAGCTGGAGAAGTCTTGTTTCTGCATCTTAGGTGGTTTTATAGAACATAAAATAATTTTTCTTCATTTTAATTTCATAAAATGACTGACAAGTAAGGGATCGTGTAGTTTCTGGACCCTGATGTGAATATTAAGACTTTCATTTGTGTTTAATTTTAATATTAGGTGTGTGTGGCGAGCAGGACGAGGCCGAGTGACGTGAGAGCGGCGCGAGGCCGGTGGCGTGAGTGGTAATGAGCGACACCTGTGAGACGCACCGGTCTCGCATCTCTCACGGAGGAGCGGAAGCGTAAAGGAGGAGCGACGACGGTGAAGATCGAGAGAGGAACAGGCCTTATTTTATGTTGTGTTTTGTTTCTGTGGCCAGCAGTCGTCCGTGAGGGGCTGCTGGCTTTACTTTCATTTTTGTATTTGTTTATTTATTAAAATCATTGAACGTTCGCCGGTTCCCGCCTCCTTCTTCCCATAACAACGAACCCCGTTACAGTGTGATTAATCACAAAAACCAGTGCAATTAATTACTTAAAATACATAATCGAGATTGTCATCATAGAAATTTTAATGTAGAAATTTAGACAAAGTACAAATAAAGAAAATAATTGTTTAATCTGAAATAACTAAATTAAATACTATTTTAAAAATTAATTTATAGACTATAAATGTATTATACAATTTACAGGACCCATGGGATCTTAAAGGGATCACCCAAAAATGAAAATGATCCCATGATTTACTCGCCCTCGAGCCATCCTAGGTGTATATGACTTTCTTCTTTCAAAGTCAGACGAACACAAACGGACACATAATGTCCTGGCTCTTCCAAGCTTTATAATGGGAGTGAATGGCTGTCTGTCTTTGGAAGTCCATCAAAGCCTTCCATACTGTCTAGGGTTTGAACCATAGATATCCATAATACATGTTAGATGTCTCGTCCGCGCTGCTGGCCAATGGAGGTCGACGTCCGCACCTGGCGCCAATCTTGTCACAGGCAGCTCGCTCACTCGTAACAATGTGTTTTAATGGTGCATGTACTTTTTAAATAACCATAACTTGCTCAATTTTCTACCGATTTTTAAACGGTTTGGTTTGTTATGAACGTCAGAGATGTAGTTATTGTCACGGTTTATGAATTCGCTGTCTCCTTTCTTGTCTCGTGTTGTGCGTGGGCGGGGTCGCTGATCATTGCAGCTGATTATCACCAGCTGCGCTCGATCAGCGCGCCAGCTGCAGCTGATCAGCGAACCCTATTTAGTCCCTCTGTGTTCTCCTTGTCTTTGTCAGATTGTTGTTGGATGTTCCTCCTTGTCTCCTGTTCTCCGTGTTCCTGCCTGTTCCAGATCGTTGGTTGTTCGTTTGTCCTGGTACCTTCATTTGGATCATCACATTCATCTGGTTCACTTTCACCTGGACTTCTGACTGTTCCTCGCTTCACTTCCACTACTGATCTGGACTGGAAATACCCACAGCGTCCCTGTGCTACCAAGTGCCTTCCCACGGGCAGTCTTCTCATTTTCCTGTGACTTCAATAAACATACCTTTTTACTTGCACTTGAATCCTCCGTCTCGTATATCCCTAACAGAACGATCTGACCATGATGGATTCAGCAAGCAGCACGCCGGAGTTGAACGAGTTCCTGTCTCGTAGCATTGCCAGAATGGATCAACAGGAGGAGAATCTGGCTGTCACTGGACGCGCAGTTCAAGCCTTGGTAGCCGTAGCACAGGTGTCCGAGCTCACCCAACAGCTTCAACACCTGGCTGTTCCCACTGCGCCCAGCCCACCGCCGATTCCCCTACCTCCACCAGCACCCGATCGTCAGCCTGAACCACGTCTGCCTGCTCCGGAGATGTATGCTGGTGAGCCGAACTATTGTAGAGCATTTTTAACAAAGTGCTCTATATTCTTTTCCTTGCAGCCACAGACATTTTGCACTGAGAAGGTGAGGGTTTTATTTTAATTTTATTCTATTTTATTTATTTAACCTTTATTTAACCAGGAATAGTCCCATTGAGTTACAGTAACTCTTCTCCCAGGGAGTCCTGGCCAAGATAGGCGGCCAAAAAGTTGCACAGAAAAAAAAACATTAAAAAAGACAGGACAAAAAAATTACATACTACACAACAAATCTCTATACATAGACTATACTTATACATACAAGACATTTTGTTTAACTTAAAGGAGTAGTTCACTTTAAAAAAAAACTTTTGCTGATAATTTACTCACCCCCATGTCATCCAAGATGTCCATGTCTTTCTTTCTTCAGTCGAAAAGAAATTAAGGTTTTTGATGAAAACATTCCAGGATTTTTCTCCATATAATGCACTTTACCGGGCACTAAACGGTCCAAGGTCCAAAAGACAGTTTCAGTGCAAACTGCAAACTGTTCAAAGGGCTTTAAACGATTCCAGACGATGAATAATGCTGCTTCTCTTCCTCCGCGTTGTCCCTATGACTGTGCCATAGATTTATTTCCAGGTAAGTCTCCGCCTAAAGGCAAACTACTCACTTTCTGTTCCTGAAAGGGAGGCCATGGAGAAATATATTTCTGATTCTCTAGCTTCCAAATTCATCCATCCTTCCTCTTCTCCAGCAGGGGCAGGATTCTTTTTTGTGGGTAAGAAGGATGGATCTCTGCGACCGTGTATTGATTACCGGGGGTTGAACAACATCACGGTAAAGAATACTTATCCTTTGCCACTGATGTCTTCAGCTTTCGAGTGGTTGCAGGGAGCATCAGTCTTCACATCAATCCATCTGCTTGGTTCGCATCAGGGTGGGGGATGAATGGAAAACCGCTTTTAATACCCCCAGGGGGCACTTTGAATATTTGGTTATGCCGTTCGGGCTGTCCAACTCCCCAGCGGTTTTCCAGGCACTCGTCAATGACGTGTTGAGAGACATGGTAGACCAATTCATATATGTTTACCTGGATGACATATTGATTTTTTCGTCATCTCTCCAGGAACACGTTCAACATGTCAGACGAGTGCTTCAGAGGTTGCTAGAGAATGGGCTTTTTTTCAAGGCGGAGAAATGCGCGTTTCATGCACAGTCTGTTTCTTTCCTAGGTTACATCGTCTCGTCTGAAGGAGTGCGCATGGATCCTGACAGGGTTAAGGCTGTGATAGATTGGCCAAGTCCCGATTCCCGTAAGGCCCAACAGAGGTTCCTGGGGTTTGCCAACTTCTATCTGCATTTCATTCGCAATTTCAGCCAACTTGCCGCGCCTCTGACCGCCTTGACCTCTCCCAGAGTGATGTTCAGGTGGTCGGATACAGCTGAGGCTGTGTTCGCCAAACTCAAAAGCCGCTTTGTTTCGGCTCCCATCCTATTCGCCCCTGATTCATCACGTCAGTTCGTGGTAGAGGTCGACACGTCAGAGGTGGGGGTAGGTGCAGTGCTTTCCCAGCGCTCTTCTGCAGACGACAAGATGCATCCTTGCGCGTTTTTGTCCTATTGTCTATCACCTGCCGAACATAACTATGACATTGGTTACAGAGAGTTGTTGGCGGTCAAGTTAGCGTTGGAGGAGTGGCGGCATTGGTTAGAGGGTTCGGGGGTACCCTTTATCGTTTGGACCGATCACAAGAACCTTGAATATATTAGATCTGCTAAAAGACTCAACTCCAGGCAGGCTCGATGGGCACTTTTTTTTTTGGATGTTTTGACTTTTCTCTCTCGTACCGCCCAGGATCCGAAAACATCAAGCCCGATTCCTTATCTCGTTTTTTTCTATCCATCCGAACGCCCGGTTACTCCCGAGTGTATTTTACCCGAGAAAATACTTATCTCCACACTCACATGGGAGGTCGAAACGAAGGTCAAGACGGCCTTAGAAGGGGTAACGCCTCCGCCCAGTTACCCACCGAATCGATTATTTGTGCCGGAGGAGTTACGGTCCGACGTTATTCGATGGGGTCATTGCTCCAACGTGGCTTGTCATCCAGGAGTAAACCGCACCCACTGTTTAGTCAAGCAACGATTCTGGTGGCCATTGATGGCTCGTGACATTCAAAGTTTTGTGTTGGCTTGCTCGAGTTGTGCCGTTGGTAAGACGTCTAACCGTCCTCCTGATGGGTTACTCCAACCGATGTCTGTCCCTTCGAGACCCTGGTCCCACATAGCGCTAGATTTTGTCACCGCCCTCCCGCCCTCTAATGGCATGACAGTTGTTTTAACCGTAGTGGACCGGTTTTCGAAGGCGGCACATTTCATCCGCTTGCCCAAATTACCCTCTACCAAGGAGACAGCGGTAACTGTCGTAGATCACGTCTTTCGTCTACATGGCCTCCCGATGGACGTGGTTTCCGACAGGGGTCCCCAATTCGTGTCCAAATTTTGGCAGGAGTTTTGTAGATAACTAGGAGCTACAGTCAGTCTGTCTTCGGGTTATCATCCCCAGAGCAATGGTCAAACCGAGCGAGCCAACCAAGATTTGGAAAGAGTGTTGCGATGTTTGGTGTCCAAGAATCCTTCATCCTGGAGCCAACAACTTTCTATGGTGGAGTACGCACACAACTCGTTACCAGTGTCATCCACGTGTCTCTTGCCGTTTGAGTGTAGTCTAGGGTACCAGCCACCTGTTTTTCCAAGTCTGGAATCCGAAGTCGCGGTTCCCTCCGCTCACGCCTTCGTCCAGAGGTCTCACCGCACATGGACCAGAGCCCGCGAGACTCTGCTCCAGGTGGGGGCGCGCACCAAGGCTAAGGCCGATCGCCACCGGTCAAAGCCTCCCGTATACGTCGTGGGTCAAAAAGGGTGGCTTTCTACCAAGAACATTCCGCTCCGCTCCGTGTCTAATAAGCTAGCTCCTAAATTCATTGGCCCGTTCCCTGTCATCAAAATCCTTAGTCCAGTGGCAGTCCGACTCAAACTTCCTCTGGCGTACAGGAGAATTCATCCCGCCTTTCACGTGTCCAATTTGAAACCTGTATTTCGTTCCCACCTTAATCCGCCGGCCCCGGTTCCCCCACCGCCGCGACTCGTAGACGGGGAACCAACATATTTGGTCAACCGTATTCTGGACTCGAGATGGAGGGGACGCGGTTTTCAGTATCTGGTTGACTGGGAGGGTTACGGTCCGGAGGAGAGAAGTTGGGTTCCTGCTAGGGACATACTGGATCACTCCCTGATTGATGATTACAATCAACAGGTAGGTCCGTCTGGGAGCGCCAGGAGGCGCTCCTAGAGGGAGGGGTACTGTCACGGTTTATGAATTTGCGGTCTCCTTTCTTGTCTCGTGTTGTGCGTGGGCGGGGTCGCTGATCATCTCGATCAGCGCGCCAGCTGCAGCTGATCAGCGGACCCTATTTAGTCCCTCGGTTTTCTCCTTGTCTTTGTCAGATCATTGTTGGATGTTCCTGCTTGTTTCCTGTTCTCCGTGTTCTTGCCTGTTCCAGTTCGTTGGTTGTTCGTTTGTCCTGGCACCTTCATTCGGATCATCACATTCATCTGGTTCACTTTCACCTGGACTTCTGACTGTTCCTCGCTTCACTTCCACTACCGATCTGGACTGGAAATACCCACAGCGTCCCTGTGCTACCAAGTGCCTTCCCACTGACATTCTTCTCATTTTCCTGTGACTTCAATAAACTTACCTTTTTACCTCACCGGACCGTAACCCTTTACTTGCACTTGAATCCTCCGTCTCGTATATCCCTAACAGTTATGACACTGCATACTTATGAATAATAAGTGTATAAATAAATAATCATCCAGAATTATAGCCATGTTAATAACGTTTGTAAGAAACCAAACCATTTGTAAATCCGTCAAGATTTCAACGAGATAAGAGTATTTGTGTTCGTGCTGATCACTCATCTTACATCAGGAACAACAGAGCCCGCCAGAAAGCTTGCCTGTGACAAGATGGCCGACGGTGATGACGATAGAGACTCCGCCGTAAGACATCTTGCCTTTATTATGGATATCTATGGTTTGAACCACGAGAGGCGTCATTTGACCCTTCGCAGGGAGCTTGATTGACAGGTGATCTGACCAATCATACTTCGCCATCTGCCATTTTGTCTGACAAAGCAGTCAGGAGAGTTAGTAGATTAACATGGGAGGATTTGAACGGTATTTATTGTTTAAATTTCTTTCTTTTTTTAAAAAGACCAAATTTGAAAGGTGAGACTTTGTTTAAGATGTTTAATATCAAAAGTAACCGAAAAGTAACCTGGTCTGTCCTGTCTGTCAGCGTGTTGTCAGTCCGCGATGTATTTTTCACTGCATGAGAACATGGTGTGTGTGTAGGGCTGGGAATCGATTCCAAAAAATCCGGAATCGAACAGCCCTATGTGAGAGCAGCGTAGCTTGTCGGACATAGCGACAGTAACTAAGGGGGGCGGGTCTTTGCATAAATCGATGCGTACGGAAGCTAGATTTTTTAACCATTTAGTCCATAAAGTTTTAAATATGGATATTTTTCTTACACAAACGCATCGTTTTACTTCAGAAGGCCTTATTAACCCCCGGAGAGCCGTTTCGAGCACGTTAATCATGAATATTGATTGACCATGAATAATGAATTAATATTTTAAACAAAAGTCTGAAAATTCCTGTATAAAATCCTTATTATATTTAGAAGGGCCAATATATAATTGCACCCAATTGGTTCTGTAGAGTTCAGTTGAAACAGTTGCAATTCAAAACTGGTAAACACTCTGGTGTGAAGAAAACGCCAATTAAAAGTGTTCTTAAAAATAGATGCCAAACCACCTCCACGACCAAAGCCAGAGGGGAATTCAGAAAACCGCAGTTAGGAGGGAGAGGAGGGAACCAGTATTTAGCCAAGTGTCCGTCAAATATAAAATATGCGTGTTAAAGTCACTTAAAAATAAATTTGTTCGCGAGAGATCGCGCATTTATTAAAGCAAACCTTAGTTCAGTAGAGAACTCCGTTACAATCAATTCTCGGCGCATAAATCGTAGATTTTAAAGCTACTTTAAGGGTCATTCCAGAATTGGAGGACATTTCATGTCCCACCTATGAAATTTCAAATAATCTATGTACAATATACAAAAAATGCAGTCACTTTGTAAAATACACTTGTCTTGAGACCAAATATAAATAGACTTGAAGATTTTTTCCCAAAAAAATATTATTGAAAATCAAAAACAGTCTCTAGTACCCACTTAAGTGTCATTTTTATCTTGTCCCACCTTGTTAAATACAACAATTATAAATAATTATAAATTACTTTTTTAGCACACAGGGGCTTGAGCTATTGTCCTTATCGTAGTTTGAAGGATTATATGCATTATGCATTTGAGCAAATACTTAAAAATATATACTGAAACTCAAATTAAACATGTCACAGTTTAAAACTTGGCAAAGGTGGAACTCAAAAGTTACTAAAATGGATTTAAATCAAGATATCTAAAATTAAATAGTTATATAGAGTGATTGTGACTTTCTTTACTTAATGGCAGGAAATTATTATTATTATTATTATTTTAAACCAATAAATATACATTTTTTAGGTTCCTGAGTATTGGTAACAGCACCGAGCACCAAAGAATGACCCTTAAACTTCAAAAAAGTTTGTCTCGACGAGTTGTCTTTTCACCTTTTGTTTATAGCCTTTAGATTTTTACTTCTACTGATTGTATTTAGGCTTCAGAATTTTCTTCAAAACATTTGTGAAAATTATATTGATGGGCAAAACATGTATGTATCATAAACTTTTGTTGATCACAGAGGTTATTGTTTGCGATAATCCAAAAGCCAATGGAAATATCCTATTGGGTTTTTGTCGAGGGAACCAGTGAAATCATAAAATTAGGATCAAATTGATTACTTACCCAGAGGTGTTGTGCTCCTTGTAATAGACCAAAACCACGCAATTCAGTATTAATAAAACAGTAAACAGCCTCAAGACCCACTTAATATATGTCATCTTCATCTGTAACTTTGATTTCGGTGTAAGAGAGGACCTATAGGTGCAGGTTTCAGAGAGAGAGTTTATTTTTAAACTATAGGTGCAGGTTTCAGAGAGAGAGAGAGAGAGAGAGAGAGAGAGAGAGAGAGAGAGAGAGAGTTTTTGTTTTTAACTCTCACAGAGTGTTTGGGTCAGAGATGGGTGGGGTCAAATGACATGACTGAATTTGGTCTTCTTAAAACTGTCTTAGTACATAAAGCCTTTTCTTCATAGTTTTCTGGGAGAGAAAAAGCTAAACATACTGAAAAAAAAAAAAGTTGTGTTTTATTATTTAGAGCAGTGGTTCTCAAACCTGTCCTGGAGGGCCACCAACACAGCACGTTTTCTTGGTCTCCCTAATCAAACACACCTGATTCAACTCATCAGCTCATTATCACTTGGGTTAATTTCTCCTCCAGGACAGGTTTGAGAACCACTGATTTAGAGAGATGTTTTCTTTTGGTTGAAAAAAATGTGACAAGTAGCTAAATGTGATTGAAACTAAATGGCAGATATTTACTTTCCTAAACATGTTTCATTAGGCGACTTATTTGACTAGAGACTTCATATCATGTGAGTGGGCATGATTTCAAATATATTCTTTCAAAGTATGCTTACTATCATTTTTTTTAGGGGTAAAACATTTTGAGAAAGAATTACAAAACCAACCAGTTCAAAGCACAATGCATATGATGGTTCATTTCACATGTTAACAACACAAAAATGTGGTCCAGCCGGTTAATCTGTACAAACAGGTACCATGTCAATGCCAAAAAGCTACAATGTGATGAAAGACCACAGACCATGCAGAGACAGTGCCTCAACATGACATTTATAGTTACTGTATACATTTAACCTTAAGATATTGTTGTTTAAATAGTTTAATACTGTTGTATGTTTTGTTAAATTTCAGTTTCATGGACTTTTAAGGTGTGTTGGACATCGGCTGCGGCTGGGTTTAACCGTTCGGCGAGAGTTGCCGCGTGCAGGCGGGAGGAGTTTAAACCGGAGACGTGAAGTCGGACACTTTCTGCTTCCCGTAGTGACACTCATGCTGCGTTTGCATACTTTACCACAGCTGAAGTGAAATAAATGCAATATTTGTCAAATAGCAGTGGTGGGCCGTCAGGGCCAGCAATCTCTGCTGGCCTAAACACTATCAGAATCACTGACTTGCACTTTAATATATTTTTTCCATGAATGAGTATTAAATTATTCCCAATAGTCCATTCTCTTAATTTCATAGCTTTTCTCTTGGTTGCGCTGCTTCCAGTAGTGTATATTTATCTTTAATGCTTATAAAATAAACAACTGGTTTCATGAGTCAACTTGCTTGGTTCTAAAGCAAAATGAACACACAGATTAGTGATAATTCTGAAATGTGTATTTTTCAACTCAAACTAGCAACAACAACTAAATGATTGATAACACCTATAATGATCAATAAGCCATTGATGTCTGGATAAAAATGACCCCCTACCCACCCCCCCCCCCCCCCTTCCTGTCTAACAGGTAGGACATATACAGAAATTTTCTCTTTTCCCTTTGTTCTTTGATTAACTTTACTGACAGAAAGCTTTATTGGCTGCTGGCCCTTTAAGAGCAGCCGTTGCTGACAGAGACGCGGATCTCACACGCGCCTCATTCTCTCACAACTCTTTACGTCCATCATGAGACTGCTCTTTTGTTTTGAAGATACTCGACAAACTACATTTTGGCATAATTGTGTGTGTTTTTGTTCGTTCAAGCGCGAAAGAGAACTGTATTCTGGCGCGCGTCTTTCTGTGAGTCGTCAGGACATTCACAGGCAGCGTGCTCTCTTTTGACTTGTCGCGCATGAATGGTTTAAAGCATTCGCACGAATGAATCGCCCAAAAAGGCGCGACCTCACGCCGTAGAACATCAATAGGGGCGGGGGGGTCGGCGCCCTGGAGGCTGACGGGGGCGAGGCCAAACCGGAGCAGGAAGCCTCCAGGGCGGAGCAGGATGTGCTGGCGGCCAGGGCGGAGACTTTCCCTCGGGCAGCCAGGGTGGAGACGCCCCTTTGGGTGGCCATGGAGGAGACGCCCCTTTGGGTGGCCATGGAGGAGACGACCCTTCGGGCGGCCATGGAGGAGACGACCCCTTGGGTGGCCGTGGAGGAGACGACCCCTCGTGTGGCCATGGAGGAGACGACCCCTCGGGTGGCCATGGAGGAGACGACCCTTTGGGTGGCCATGGAGGAGACGACCCTTCGGGTGGCCATGGAGGAGACGACCCTTCGGGTGGCCATGGAGGAGACGACCCTTATACCCCCCAAAAAAAATTCTTGGGGAGTGTAACAGGCTCAGGAACGTGCTCAGGGACCGGGACAGGCTCGGAGCTGGACGGGACCAGCGGAGAAGGCTCAGGGCTGGGCGGGACCAGCGGAGAAGGCTCGGGGCTGGACGGGACCAGCGGAGAAGGCTCGGGACTGGACGGGACCAGCGGAGAAGGCTCGGGGCTGGACGGGAGCAGCGGAGAAGGCTCGGGACTGGACGGGACCAGCGGAGAAGGCTCGGGACTGGACGGGACCAGCGGAGAAGGCTCGGGGCTGGACGGGACCAGCGGAGAAGGCTCGGGGCTGGACGGGACCAGCGGCTGGACGGGACCAGCGGAGAAGGCTCGGGGCTGGACGGGACCAGCGGAGAAGGCTCGGGGCTGGACGGGACCAGCGGAGAAGGCTCGAGGCTGGACGGGACCAGCGGAGAAGGCTCTGCAGGGCTGACTTGAAGCTCAGGCTCGGCGTGGCTGACGTGAAGCGCAGGCTCGGCGTGGCTGACGTGAAGCTTAGGCTCGGCGTGGCTGACGTGAAGTGCAGGCTCGGCGTGGCTAACGTGAAGCTCTGGCTCGGCAGGCGTGACGTGAAGCTCTGGCTCGGCAGGCGTGATGTGAAGCTCTGGCTCGACAGGCGTGGACGAAACCAGCGGTGAAGACTCTGGGCTGGACGGAACCAGCAGCGAAGGCCCTGGACTGGGCGGAACCAGCGGCGAAGGCTCGGCAGGGCTGGACGGGACCAGCGGTGAGGGCTCAGCAGGGCTGGACGGGACCAGCGGTGAAGGCTCCAGTCCAGACCGGAGAGATCTAGAAGCTCCCTGGGATCAACCGTTCCAAGTGAATTCCAAGTGAAGTGGAACAGATCGCGACTATCCAGAGCCAAAGCCGCGATCTGTCCAGCGAGCTCCCAGCTCATGTTGTGGTCGGTTATTCTGTTACGTAACGTGATAGTGGAAGTAGCCTGAAGACGAAGGAGGATGATAATAATGGTCTTTAATGACAAAAACTCTTAACACATGTTATTATTAGCCTAACTTTCAAATAGACGGAAAAAACATGAATATCCGATTGGCGTCAATTAACACCAATTGTTTTTTACTATGGCTTCACACACATTCACTTTTTGAAACATTGAGGCACGGATGTACCTAATACAAATAAATAAAACATCTCCAGATTAACTAGCAGATCATTCATTTAGTTCGCTATTAAATAAGAGATCTAGCGCTAAAATCTGTTGCTTTTGAAATCAAGCTGAGCGCTCGTGTCCGCTGCTATCAGTTGCATGGACGACGTGCTGCGCGAGTTGCGCAATCTTCACTCGGACGCGCGTTTCAATCTATCGCCGTTGCGGAGACTCTCTATTCATTCCGGTGAAATCACAAAATAAAATGCACACAAACGTGTCCCTGCTTGATATAGGCTGTAACCACTGATGAACATAGGGTTACTCTTTTGATGAGAGAAAAAAAAAAACTGTAGCCTATGAGTGCAGGGATTAGAACCACTGATCTATATAATGAGATGTTCCTGATTCACCATCGTCCGTCGCGTCTGGCCTCTGAAAAAAGCTTTCAAGGCTAGCCTGCCTGGGCCTGGCTATATTTGAAATGTCTCACTCAATCGTTCTTTGTTTAGTTCTATATTACAGCCGTTTTAGGCGTGTGCTTTATTTGAAATGCAGCATGCGATGTTGTTTAATAACTTTCAAACGGTAGAACGGCCTGTTCCTTTATAACATAGCCAAAGGTCGGTGTATTTTTGCTTTATACATTTTTGGCTTATTCTCAAATTTATATTGTGTTAGGGGGGCGGGATTATTACACAATTTTTATCAGACAATTTGACCGGAGAGATTTAATTTTGTCGGACATTTCGTTTTTTTCCCGGCCAATGTCCGGTAAATACCGGACAACGGAAACCCTGGTTTGGGGTCCGTGTAGCCTACGCAAATAATAATAATAATTATCATTACATTATTATAACATTTATTAGGCTACATATTTAGAAAGCAATTTGTCAAATGTCATTCATAATACAGGTTAGACAATAATAATACAGGGCTAAGATTATCACAAATAAACACAAGATTGTGACGCATATCCAGTTTGTGCGGAGTGTGGAGCGCGCATGGCCGGGAGGCGCGGGCGCGAACGCGAACACTTGCATTTTCTTATCAACAGTGGAAACAACTTAAAAAACTCTATCATTTCTGGCCATACAGAAAATAATAATGCATTATTCGCAACTACTTTTATCTGCGTAAACTCAAAATAACAAGAAAACGTTGTGCTTTTGTAAAATAAAATAAAACAATCAGGTGTGGTTTCATGGTCTCCGTGAACTGGAGCACGAGAACTGAAACAAAATATAGCCTATGTGTCACGGTTTGGGTCTTGTTCCTTGTTCTTGTATGTCATGTGATTCCCTGTTTGCCATGTGTCTTGTCTATTGTTCCCAGGTGTTTCTCGTTAGCCACGCCCCCTTGTTATCTTGTTTAGCTTGTTTGTCCTTGTAATTAAGCCCTGTGTTTCAGTTCAGTCCTTGTGAGTTCTTATGTTGTTATCGTCGATGTTGGTCGTGCTTTCCCTGAGTCCTGTTCATAGCCTGAGTCTTTGTCTAGTTTCCAGTCTGTCTAATAAAGTGTGCTGCATGTGGATCCTTCTTCCTCCTCGTTTCTACCGCATCATGACAGAAGAACTCACCACACAAGATCCAGCAG